TATATATATAGTAATGATTAAGAATAAACACTCTACATGAACAAGTATCTTTAAAAAGTGTAGAGATCTGTCACATGACCACATACAACTACATTCTGCTATATATATACAAAAGGGAAGCTGTATTGTAAATGCAGTATGTATATGCGGTATGTATGCAGTTCTATAGTGTAATGTTCAGATGTATAACAAAAATTATGAATTTTAATTTTTCAATTCCAGAACTCATTTCTTGTTCATTCTTGTTATGTTGTCATTTTGTCAGTTTTTGTAGACTGTAACTAAAAATGGTCACGCAGAGGTTTTATCTAATAAATGATAAGTGTAGAGCAAGTTTCCAACATAGCCAGACTGTCGTGGTTACACCACAGTTCTACACAGTGTGAGATAGTGGTGATAGTGTATTAGGCCCAACATTGTAATTTTGAGAAGAAAGGATCTGATTTAAGGGAAAATGTCTCTGTTAAAAGGAAAAAAACTTTACAAAAATAAAAGTTTTCTTATCAAATAACCAAACTTTGCAAAGATGCATCAGTCTTACTAGACCACAGACAGCACTGCCTGCCATTTATTATGGCAAGAAAGATGTACTTTCTTGCCAAAAAAATATAAAATCATTATATTGTCACAAGCCTTCTTCAGTTTAAAGTTTGGTTAACTGGAAGTATATCACATTTACCTACTGAAGGCTGTCTGGCTTAATGGGAATCTACCCAACATCAGGAGACAACTGTCAGGTCAGTTTATCTGATTCATTGAGAAACTGCTTCTCAATCCTGGAGTTGTCTTGCTTCTGGTAAATGTTAGCTTTCCTGCTAACACAGACATTTTTGCTTTTGTACATCAGAAACTGTAGCATTCTGTTTTTAACAATGCAACTGTGGTCTGATAAAATCAATTCAGTATTGCAAAGTGTGGGATTCTAGGTTACTCCTTTGAACATAGAAGGGCCCTAATCCACCCAGCGTAGATTCACTGCTTTATATACCAGCTTTATATACAGTCTATAAGGGGGAGGGGCCTGTATTTTCTAAATACTATGAAGTGTGAATTAAAAAGGAAAAGATTACATTCACTTTTCACAGCTCCCTGAACACACTATAACCCCTTTATATATAGTGATAAATGGCTTTTCCAATTGCAAGTCGACATCACTGCTACACTAATGATGCCGTAGGAAAAACATGGATATTGTGTCTTGTCCCTCACTGACATGCACAGCACTACAAAGAGCACCTTCAAACAGAACTCGTTAACAATCAGCTGCAAGTTTTTGTTTTCAATTTTTAAGCTTTTTTTATGTAAAACTTCACTTCAACATGTCGTCATTGCAGAAAAAAATGTACTTTGGTTTCTGTTCCAAATCAACATTTGCTTTAATCATGGACAAAAACATAGAAAGACGAGCTCAGCACTGTAAAGTTTGAAAACAGTGCGCTGTGCACTCAGTTTGCAGTGTTGTGCATCACTGAGTCAAAGACAAAACATCCAACGACAGCAGGGGTAGGAAATTAAATACATTTATTACAAAAAGTCTAGGAGCAGGAAGGTGCTAAAAGTGAACATCAGTACAGATGGAAACAGGAAGTTACACTAATGAAAAAAGTTTAAGCAGCTTTTACCCTTTGAAATTTATAAAGTTATACAAATGTACAATAACAAAGCAGGCTGAAACTTACAAATTTAATGAGAAAAGGGGTTTTTCAATTCAATGAGCAATGCCAGAAATTCCATAAAAAGTGCTAACATCCCAGAACAGCTACAAGAGCAGCGAGCAGTTCTTTAGGAGGCCTCGAACATCTTCTTCCTGTCAGCCTTGTCCTCAATGTTCTTACGCCAGTCGCCCACCGCCTCTGCAGGCTGCAGGAAAAACAGTGACAGTCAGAGACAGTCAAGACTTTCTAGCCTCCTAAATGAATCTTAAATTAAAATATTAAATGCAAACACTCACCTCCTCTTTCACCTCCTTCTTGACCTGCTTCAGGTTGGCCCTGAGGTCCAGGTTAACTGTGTGTTTGGAGCCCAGCAGAGCTTTCAGCATGGCATCGGCAGACATGCGCACTTTCTTCAGAGCGGGCTTCTTCACTCCAGCCAGGTCGACCACTTTGATTTTCAGGTCATCAATCTACGAGCGACCAAGCAGTTTAAAGGTGAAACCAAGTCGAAAGCAGAGCAGTGCGGACGCATTTAGAACCAGCGGCGAAACGCTGAAAACGCTTTACATTTGGCATGCACCCTACATCGGTGTTTTATCTGTAATGTGAGTTTATCACATTAGCAGTGCAGGAGGGGCTCTGCTTATGAAAACTAAACTGCTACTGCTGCTCAGACAATGATATTTCTAGAATGTCTGATTTATTTATTGATTTATTTTAATTTGCTGATTACACAAATATCTCCGGCTCTGTGAAGAATTTGCAACAACTTTTGAACCTGATCAACTTCATCAGGACTCAGAAATTAAAAAAGGCTTAACATAAATTAATTATCACTAAATGTGAAAAACAGACAATTCAAAGTATTATGTATAAAATAAATCACATTTATACTTAAATAAAATGTTAAGATAGAGTGAAATTAAATGCCTTGGTGTGACAATAAATGACAAAATTTGCTGGAAATTAAATATACAATATATTTTGTTGTTACTTTATTATCCATATTTAAATGTTAAAAATAAAACAGTCTAATCAATAATCATTATTAATGAGAAAAAAATGATCTCTCATGCATCTAAATTGTAGGAAATATCAAGAATAAAGAATAAAGCAGACATCATGCACAAAGAGAAAGGATTTGTGCTCATCCAGATAACTTCAGGATTTAACCTTGGTGCTCAGTATTACTTTCACTTCTTCCTGGGGAACATCACCATGGTAACTTACACTGCAGATCTAACCTGCTCTGTAGGAGGTAATGTTCTAGATTTGAGACTAATAGGTATGAAATAACCACAGATCAGTCAATTCTAAGGAAAATAACATGATTTCTGAAAGACCCTTGAAATATGGAAAGAAATGTGGATTCTCATGTGCAACAATTTATGATACTAATATGGGACATCTATTTATATTTGTTGAAATTATATCAAATTTGTATTTAGATCAAGCACAGAGTTCAATTTGTTCTTTAGATGTCGTCTCTATTGACGCCCAGAACATTAAACAGTTGCAGCTGAACAGATAAAAACTAAAATTGTCTTGACTCAGCTTCAAATAGGCTTTTAATACAGTAGCCCTACTCCAATCTTACCAACCTGATTATTACAGTGAACCTTTGTACTTGATGCTTTAACTCTTGTGCAAATCTTGTGCAAGAAAGAAGGTGAAAGAACAACCTGCCTTCCTGTTTTGTTTACAACTATATCACACTGAGTGATTTCAAGGTTAACACGTTCTGTGGATGTGAAAAGCTGCCAGTCTGTTCTGCAGAACAGGTGGAAGTGTACCTCTTTATCAGCCTTGCCCACTTTGATCTCCAGGTCGTACCTCTCTTCATCAAGTTTGTCGATGAGGGCGTGCAACTTTTTGCAGGTTTCCTGAGCGAACAGACACATCCAATGTTTGGTTACTTAGGACTCATCTTTAGTGAGGATATTATAGTTACAAATATCCTCACTAAATGAATATTATAAATAAGAGCTGACAAGAATTCGGAAATCCTCAAATAAAAGAACCATTGTCTGCATGAAATAATGATAAAGGGAATACTCAGAATGATTTCCATTCAGCAGCTTTCAGTTGAGCTTTGACTCTCACCATGAGAGTTGCCTGGTCTCCACTCAGCGCAGGAGGGGGGCAATTCTCTGCCATGTAGGTCTGCTTAGAGGCTGCAATTTCCTGTTTCTCCTTTTCAATCCAGTTCACCGCGATCTGCAGCATCAAACTCTGCAGGACAAAAAAAAGTCAAGAAGTCAGTAGTAATGAACCGTTGAGCGCGAAAGTGAAACCTGAATACTTTAAAATGTTCAGCAGAAACACCTTTGGCTGTATAGAGGTCTATGGGAAACTAGTTTTTGAGTCAGTTGACCTGTGACCTCAGAAAACACTTTGCTGTTGAGTTTATGGCTTAACTGTTACTTTTAACACTTGGAATATAGCACGGAGTTCATTTTGTCATTTTGTCAATTTTGTCAATCGTCATTAGTATGTAGAAAGATAATAAAGTAGGGTTGGGTTCCTGATATATTGGCCTATATTTGCCAGTATGTGAGTATAATGACAGATAAATGAAAATTAAAAAATAAAATAACAAAGAGACAGGACACAAAAAACTATGCAAACAATGTTGCATAGTCTGTCCACCAGAGGGCGCTGTGTAATTAAATGTTGACAACAGGTGCTTGGAAGACCAGAAACCCCACCAGCTGATCTGAGCTGAGTTGGGGAGCGCACAAAGGACTGATCTACAGTTTGCTGTGACAATAAAGAAAGATTACTTTTCAGCTGCATTGTCATATTATCTTACTAGCTCATAAATAACTACACATAAGCATTAGGTAACCTCATTTGCTTAATGTGGTTGACGTTACAGTATCACCATCCATCTTTTATTTACAGTCGATACAGAGAACATGCCAACTTTCTTTTTAAAGTAATAAAACCGTTCAAAGCTCAGAAAGACTGCCGACGACATACCTTCAGATGATGCCTGCGGCTTGAAGTCATCTTTTTTCTGTGAGGAGTGAACACAACAGTCTCTGTCACAACTGTAACAGCAGTAATTCAAACAACTGTACAAACACAGCTAGAAAGAAAATGACATGAAGTTTTTAAAGTTTTCCCTCCTAATTTTCTTCTTTGCACTTTCATTTCTGATCATTTTCTTTCTTTAGTCTGTTTGACCTTTACTCATACTTTTTCCCTGTTTTAGTAATTCCTCTAATTTTCTCCTTTATTTATTTCCTTCTTTCTGCTCTTTCCTGTATTTTCCTTTTCATTCTCTCCTCATTTTGTTCTCTTTTCTGCTTTTGTTATTTCTTCTTTTTAAATTCCTCCCTTTTTTCTAAATCCTCTTCTTTTTTCTGTTTTTCCTTTTTTTTTGTCAATTTTTGCCTTCCTTTCCATTTTTTCCATCCTCCTTTTTCTTCTTTTGCCCTCTCCTTCCTTCTTTTCCTCTATTAATGTTTACTTCCTAAGTAAGATCCATAGTAATCTTATGTTCATTTGATCCAGTGAAGTCCAGTAAAATACTTGCTCCACTAAAATCACTGATATATGATGAAGAGACAGCACTTACTCAGACATGTTTACGGTTTCTGTTCTTCACAATCTGTTTGGAGAAAGAAACAGAAGAAAAACTCATCAGGATGGAAACATATGAGACACCTTATTTGTATGAAATGTGATCTATTCAGCCAGTTGATGAGCAGCTGAGTGATGACAGAGCTAACTTTGGGGTTGGGGTCAAATGTGGCCACTGACGCCTGCGATAAGCTCCTTTACAGGGGTTCATAACTAAATATCCTTGGGGAGTTAACACTTCAATTCCTTTCCCAGAGAAGAATCTTTCCAACAGAATGTGCTGCGGCAGCAGCTTCGCAGCCAACACCAGCGGGTAAACACACCCCAAAAACAAGGCAGCCGGTCCCAGAGTCAAGTTTCAGAAGATATATTTAATGAGAATAACGCACAGGTTTAGTTTTCCAGCTGAAATATGACACAAAGAAGCTAATTTAAGGCAAGAAGGTTTATAGTTTTAGGCTATAAAACTTCTAAAACTGTAAAACAAAAAGAAGAACTTTTATATTTGTGCAGTCCACAAATCAAACCGCAAAACACTCAGAATCAGCTCCATGCTTTACCAATCAATATACTTAAAAAAAAAAAGTAACAAATAATTACATTTTGTGATGCTTATAGCAGAGTGACTTCACAGCTGGAGAAATGTTTAACAGTGGAGCACAAATTCCCTAAACAGTCAAAAAGGAAACTAATATCCATCATAACACCTCATTTTTTTCCATGTTTTTTCCTTCCGTCCTTCAGGACATGTAAAGATCCTGATCTTTAAAACTCAGTCAAACAACAAAATACAATAAAATGTACTTTGATTTTACTTTTAATGCTTCATAAATAGTTTTTACAGAGAAACATACAGAAAAAGAACAGATATTCCCAAACATAAATCTGTAAGACGCATCGCAGTAACAACTGTTCTGATTATTTTAGGAAAGAAAAGTAAACTCGTTCCATAAAATGCTTTCCAGTAATTTCAGCAACAGAAAACTCTTAAACTAATCTTGAAATCAGTAGAAATGTCCCAGCTTTGTTTTTGCTTTCTAAAAGAAATTAAACATCTAAAAAAATAAACCTAAAAATAAAATAAACCATCTAAATTTTATCAAAACTTTCCAAAACTGCCAAATGTTCCCAAAATGTAGAAATCTTCATAGAAAGTCAAAATCAAATGAGAGCATCGTTCAGTCTCTGCAGCGCTGCTCAAACACACAACACTCAGATCGCCCTGGTTCATGTTTCCCTTCAGTTATTAACAAACCCCAGAGGTCAGGACTTTCATCACCTTAGCGCTTTCCCCCAAAAGATTCCACATAGCAGTGGTTTCATATCCGTTTACCAGCTCTGTACAGACATGCAGAGAGAGGAGGAGGAGGAGGAGGAAGATAGGGAAACTGGTCTCACCTACGACGAGACGGAAAGTCCAGGAGGAGGGCAGCAGTGGCCAGTGGCAGTGAGAAGAAATCATCCCAGGGGTGTATATATATGAGGTATCAGATATGGATATGGTGCTCCTGTTTATGGAAATGCAGAATCCTCAGACCAATCGGCCAGCAAGATCCTGAAATATCATCAACCCCTTCCAACTTCACCCCATAAATCAGCGTTTATTGAGGAGGAGCCTGATTTCATTTTAGGACTTTGCTGGGTGCCACCGGGATGCTATAAAAGGGAGGAAGAGAAGGATGATGATGATTCACATTTGATATGAAACTATCAGAGTGCAAATATTTCACTGGGTGATCATGGGACTGCTGGAAATAGAGGGACAGTAAAAACATTTTTGGCTTGTTATTGAACTCAAGATGCTCAAATCCAAAAAGTTGGTAAGAAGTTGTGACAAAACAAACTTTTCAGGCTGGTTTTCACTTTTGAGTCATTGATTAAAGGATGATTTTTCTCTTTTTTACATCACTACAAGCAGTCAACACCCCTTGGTTTCATTGTGTTCCTTTAAAGATTTACAGGTCCAACATGATTGCTTAAATGTGTCAAACCTCTCAGGATTCAAGGAGAAAGGTCTGAAAATGCATTGAATTCATTCTTGTGAGTAATTTACATCAAAATGTAACTGTATCTATATCTATGTGATAGTCAGGAAGTCACTTTGTCTTCTGGAGTCCTAAAGTGTCAGACCTGGGTGTGCCAACATTGGAAACATGAGCATTTTATCACTAATTAGAAGGAACATTTCTCACAAAGCACACAACCTTTGAAGCTGGCATGAACTTAAATCCCAGCATCTCCATGTTGTCACCTTCATCTCCACAGCTGCCTGACTCGTCTGAACGCAGGACGGGGCTAAAGCCTGGTTTTCCCGGTAATGACAAAAAATAAACAATTCAATTTAATCCTCAATGGACCAAAATAAAGATGCAAACATTGCTAATGTGGGATGATATCTCTTGTTTGAGCTTACCTTCATGTAACTTCCGAAGATGGATCACATGAAACCACTTCCTAAAAGCCAGAAGGGATGTGTTTTAGTCTAAAAACTAAGTTTCTAATGGATAATTTAACTTTTAAGTTGTGAAAAGCTGATCTGGGATTGTACCGGCGATCAAACTGAACGCTGTGATGAATGAAGAGCGCTGGACCAAGCGGAGGTGGCTTCCACAGCTTCAAATAATCAAACAAACAGGAAAACTTTGATATAACTTTTAAACATTGCTCCAAACAAAGTGCTTCACAAGCTCACATTTCTGCAGACTATAAATACCACATTAATGACTTGCTGGCCTGCTTACTGTTTCATATTGGACCTCTTATCTGAGCTATGGCTCTGCCTTCAGAAAGGCTTCCAGATCTTTCTCTGGCTGCAGAAGGGCCATGTGGATCAAGTTACGTGTCTTAGATTGAGATGGAGGTTGTTTTTTTCTTGGATGACATAAAATCGCATCAAAGCATTTTTCCTTCGCTATTTTTGACCATTTATAAACGATGGACACAGCTGCCAGGAGGGGAAGCTTCAAGCTGAGCATTTTCACCATCACTGGAGACATTATAAAAGATGCTGGTGGGACATAGCAAACACATCATTCTTCAGTCTCAGTGCTTTGGTGCATTCTTAGAAGCTCTCTTTTTTGACCTAGAAACTTTAAGGGCACACAGCGCTCCATGCTGAGATTTGCCCATTTTTACTTGCTTCCACAGCCAGCATGCACCTCTCTTGTTTAGCCTGGTTAAATCTCAGTACTTAATCACTACTTTGTTTTGGTTTAGGAGCAGTTGGAATCATGCAGTGGTAAATGAAACTTGTACTTTACGTCAGATGTACAGACACATATGTAAAGAAAAAAACAATACAGCATTCTCTGATTGTAGTTTTAGAGTTTTAATAAATATTGTAAATTAACAATATATTTAGTAACTAATGCTCAAAAATGTAGTGGAGCTGTGAGACTGACCAAATTCTACAAAGAGCCTTTTAGGAAATCAAATAAAAGCATAAAAAAACCCTGAATTGCTTTGTTTGTTAAATTTTCACTGGCGATCACCTCAGGCCCACGAACGAATGTAAAAGAGTCTGCAGAGCCAAAAGCGTTCAGCAGATCAGACTATAGTCTTATAAGCTGACGGCTGAGGAGGAAGGTGCTGACGGGTCTGAGTGATGCACAGATGATGAAGAGTCATGCTGGGAATGCAGCATTAAGGGGCAACATTTGGGCTCAGGTTTACGGTCCCGTCACAGAGACCAGTAGGTGTTTTCTATGAAAACGCACGACCTACAACTCGAGCTTCAGGAACGCTCCATACCTCCGGTGTGACTTTAGAAACTCAAGTGAAGCGTGCTGCCTTTCCTCACTATGTGAAAGTATTAATAACTATATGTTTATGTTTACACGCAGTTTGATACATGCTCCTGATGCTTGTAGTAGTTTGCTCGGAGTCATCCACCATCTGTGTTCATGTGGCCTCCTGCAGGGATGGTTTGCAGTTAGATTTACTGCCTGTCATTAAGGCTTTCCCAGTGTTAAAATACCATGCATCTATCTAAAGGCATCTCGCAACCAGAGAAAACTGCTGACAGCGATAACATTTGGAAAGTGTGAACAGTTTATTGCTCTTTGTTTGTTTCTACTTCAATTTTACAAGTTAGATTTACTAAATCACTGATTGGTCAAAACAGATGTAACAATTTTTCATGAGATATATACAAAAAAAACTTTTTTATTAATACAGCATATAACTGCAGTGTGTTAGCTGCACACTAAAAAGCCTTGTCCCAATGGGAAGAAAAACCAAACCAAAAAATAAAAAATAAATCACTACGTTGGTGATAAAAATGCTTTTTTAAATCAGTTTCTTTCTTTAGAATAACTTTAGACTTTCAGGCTCAGGCAGGTGATGCTTGGTTTATACTTCTTGTAGCAGTGATGAGAGAGATGGACTGGAGCGATTAATGATGCCAGCATTCTGCTCACACCCCTATAAGGAGACAAGCCCAATGCTTAGGCTGGACCGGAAAACTCACTCAGCAGGTGTGTTTGGTCTGGTGTCATTTTCCTTCAACTCACTCACCTCCAGCCTGACCTCCTTTTAAACCTCCTTTCTGTCCCTTCAGATTGGACATGTCGGTCCGTGCTGGCTGCCGACAGGATAAAGGACTGGACACAAAGTACAGTACAAGTGCTGCCAAAAACTCGCCAACACTGGGAGGTAAAAACAACTCCACCTCACTGATAAAACCACACAATCCTAAAGGTAAATGAGCTTTCTGGGTATACGGTCATGGGCATGTGGTCATCCAACAGTGTGCAAGATGCTCTGGTTACAACGCACCGAGGTGCATTTCTCACTTTTGACTGTAATTTAAAATTGCCACCTGATAAGTGCAAAGTAACACTTTAGCACCACAGCTTGTCACAGTAATTTTTGGAGGAGCTGAAGTATGTGACATTGAGAGCAGCTGATTTCACTAATTAACACGTTTGATTCAGAGAGGAAGAGCTAATCGGTGCGATCGGCTGCTGCTGCGTTGGACTGGAACTCAAACCTGCAGGTTGGACTGCATTACGCTCCACAGATGTACCACGAGCAATGCAGATGCGTGATTAGTGCATGCAGTGTTTCAACTCAGTATTTATTCGCCATCTAGTGGACATAGTTTATAATCTTCCCAATGCACACAGAGTGGGCCAGTCCAAAACAAGGATGACATATAGTATTTCACATTAACGACAATATCGACGCTCATTCTAAACCTGTGGAGAAACTGGCACAGGTAAAAAATAAAGGAGGGCCTTTGTTTTACTTGATTCTTATTCTCATACTTAAAAAGACACATGAAATGCCAATAAGTGCTTAAATTATATGGAAATTTGCAGAAACAGATGAATGTTGTCTTTTGCAACACTAGTGCCTCAAGAGAGGCATTTTAAAGATGGACAAAGCTTACATTCCTGCATTTTAATCATGGATGGAACCACGGCAGGTTTCAGTCATCTTTGGGGTAGAGTCGGACTTCATGTTGGCTACATCCATCTTTTACATACAGAGTGATCACAGACTGCAGCCTCCCATAAGTTAGCATTGGACACTACTGAACCTTGGTTTTTAATGACACTACAATTAATAGCTGTTATTCCCCTCTTGTTACAATATATACATGCATACAATCCATATCATCTCCATTGGATTCTACCAACGCTGAACATGGATGACAATCTTTCATCAAGACAGTATCTGTTATGTTAAAACAAGCCCTCAGATTCTCATCCATCTCTTACCTCTAAGTCCTGAAGAAAGACACTTATTCATGTTCAGGCCTCTGAGTATGACAGAGATTATGGTTCCCTTCCTGAAGGTGAGAAGAAGGATGTACTGTGAGCAGCACTTTTCTATGGGTTACTGCAGGTCAGCATGGAGGAGACTGTAAATGCTCCTCTCCTTGTCTGTTCTCTCATTTCTAATTCTGGCTGGTGTGAATCTAAGTGGAGAGGCAGCTGTTATCTGAGGATATGATGCAGCCGTCAGCAGAGGTCAAATATAACCTGCGGTAACACTGAGCAGTGTGATGCCAAATGCACAAGACATTGTTGACGTGTCAAGTGGAGGAGAAAAGTGGATTAATAAAATCCAATCTCCAAGTGTACCCGTGAAACAAAACGACAGGAGAAACCTACACAGTGGTGTGAAAGAGAAATTTTCCACAGGATTCTTTTTAGTCCTGTGAAAAACTAAATCCACCCTTACTCCTTCATTAGGAAATAAGAGAGTACTTATCAGCCAGGTGCTGTTAGTTAAATGCACTTGATTAACTGATCATCACCAACTATCTGCACCTCTGCAAAAGCAGAAGTTTGGCAGTTTGCAGGTGTGGAGCTTTCAGGTGTGTGTTAACACAATAACACAATCATGTCAGGAGTGGACATGCCAGCAAATTCACCCCAAGGTCAGAAACTGTGGAAAAAAAAACCCTAGAGGTCCAGCTCAGTCTCTGCAGGCCTCAGTTAACATGTTAAATGTCAAAGTTTATGGCTTGTTTGGAAAGGTTGCTGGGAGGAAGCCTCTTCTCTCGAAAAAGACTCAAGACTTCTGGAGCAAAACAGGACCAAAGTGGAGATGCTTGGTCATAAAGCACAGCAGCACATTTGGAGAAAACCAAACACAGCATATCAACTATTCACACAGAGGGGAGTTTATGTTTGTCTACCTTTTTACCCTGTAAAGACCAGTGGGCCAAACTTTCCCCACAATAATGTGAAAGACTGAGAATATGGCTAAAATAACAAGGAGTCCAATGCATTATTAGTTATGTCTAAATAAAAGCTTTCTGGAGGGAGTGAATCAAGCATTTTTCATTGAACTAGTGACTCTGAAGCTTTCTTTCTTTCTGTCTTTTTCCTAATTGCTCCATCGAAGGAGTAAAATTATTGCAGTTTTCATACACGGGGTCTCCTGCTCTGTGCTCATACTGTAAGTATCACAGTGTTTTGCTTCCTGCTGCCAGGAGTGACAGACATGAGAGGATGGATTTAAGCTGTGAAATCTGGTAACGATTTAACAAAATGCCACACGTGTCTGTACAGGACTGGGACCACCTGCACCTCCAGGCTTCAGCTGAAAGTTGAAACCAGTACTCCCAGTGGCATCTGCATGAATAACCTTTTATTTGTTTATTTTACTACCATCAAACTACATGAAGACTTTTAAATTTATGGATATTTTTGACTTCAGCGTACCTTTGCGGAAAAGCATGCTGTGTCACATCTAAGTGATCGAATCTGCAAAGAAAGGAAAGAAAATCAAGTGATTTGGGGGGAAAAAAGCTTAAAATCTAAAAATAGTAAAATGTGATTTAAACGCTCACCTTTTCTGCTCTGTGGAAAATAAGCCAGACTTCTTCATTTATGACAAAAACATTTAGGATTCAGGTTTTGGAAGTCAGCTAATTAAATATATGCAGTTATTACTCACCTTCTAAATATTACTACTATTTCAGCCTTTTCCACAAGCAAGCCAACGGCTTTAAGCATCATAATTCAGTTCCATAAATTCAAATTAGGCAACTTTTTATAAAACATCACATTACTATAATTTTTAAAGTGTACAGGTAAAAAATAGCTCAGTTAGTATCTTAGTACAATAAAATAGTTAAATGAAATTAACCTCCAGTGTTTTACAAACTCAGGAAAACTGAGAACAAGATGAGCAGGAAGCTTTTCTAGTTAATGTGACAGCAAAATGACGGTAAAAGTACATCACATTTTGTTTTAGAAACATGAAGTGATTTAGTACTCTTACAGTTCTCCAACGTAGGAAGCACAATTATTCCTCTACACTGGCCTTGTGCCTTATTTGATCCATTATAGGCTGCCAGGCAAATGCAAGCCTTCTCAAATTAGTTATTTCCCACAGGCTCTATAAGAACTATGGATAAAGACATCGTAATGTTACAAACCGGCTCCCAAAGTCCAGTTTTTGATGGCTCGCCCTCCTATCTTTTTAAAACCAGACGTCACAACTGAGGGATGCGACTAAGAAACCATTTTTATACTGCCGTCCACTGGCGGGGTCCATAACTTTCATAAGGAGCATAATGTTACTTGAAACATGACTAGGACAGAAGCAACTGAGCCCACAGTCTCATTAGCAAAGGTCTGGAGGGGGTTCGCAACCTGTTTAAGGCACTTCACATGGAAGCTACATGTGGGGGGGGGTCTTCAAATATTTGCACTTGCAGACAACAATCAACTGTTACATTCACAAAGCAACTAGGCAAAATAATAAATGGATGAAATTAATTAATAAATGAAAGTGTATTACAGGAAACATGTTGGCAGACAGAATAAGAGATGTAACTTGTGGGTCTGACAAGTTTCCAGACTAGTTTTAGGTTATAATGAATGAAACTTTAGGTCCATTTTATAAATTATCTCATTATAAGAGACAGAAAAGATAATTGTCCAGAATATGCTCATTGGCCACGTCAGTGTCAGTTATCAGACTGACAACCAGCTTCCCAACAAGACTTTACAAACCACTAAGTGATGTAATGGTGTCTGTCCATCTTTTGATATTTACAGTTTATGGTAACAGGTCATGTCAGAGATCTAATGGTTCTTGGACAGCTAGGTGGCACGAAACACTTGACTAGACGTTCTACAATCTACATCAAACAAGGGAGAAGTGAAGGATTGACCAAATGAAGGTGTGTAAAGAGCATGTTGTAGTGTTTCATTTATTCATGCTGGGCCAGTTAGAATATGGGTCATGATTTATTTGCAAAATATGCGTCCATTGCATTTGGATTTTAACCTCAGACACTAACTAGAGTTTCAGGAAACGTACATCGTAGGCACATTAGTAAAAGCAAAAGGAGAAAAAAGTAGAATTGATTTATCTGACACATACTAACTGTAACACAGTACAAATATATCACAGTACAGTTTCAATACAGGCTAAAGCATGAAGGAAGCTTAGTGACGAGTATAATTCAAAGTGAGATATCCAAAAACTACAACCATGCTTCACTGGCATCAGTGCATATCACAGATTCCCTACATTTCACTGCACCTTAACACAAGCCTTGAATTAAAGTAAAGGCCATTTATCACATACTGTACCAAAACAGAAGCTTAGTAAGCACCATAATCTTCCACCAAACATATGCCTTTAGATGATGTTTACTAAGATCAGGATCTACAGATCAAGTAAAATGAATTAGAAATGCATCACTTTGGATTAAAACCCTTCAGTTAACAAAGACAGTAAACCCAATTTCTGTCCTGAAAGTCACCCTCGCATTTAGCTATCAAACATCTTCTTCCTATCAGACTTGTCTTCAATGTTCTTACGCCAGTCTCCCACATCACGCAGCTGCTTGTCCTGCAAACACAGACGATGCTCTGTTAGTGCAGACTGAAATCAGATGCAAAAAGGCTGCTAATCAAGAAAACAACTATTTGTTTTGATGGTTTTTCTGCCCCCTAGTGGCCAGAAAATGTATTGTTACAGTTTCTGAGGATTAAGTCCTCCTCGATGTTGAGAAGAAACTCTACCTCCTAAACCAGGGGTCTCAAATCTACAGCTCCAGAGCCACATGTGGAGCTACTGTAGATGCCTCCCTGTGGACACCTTAGTATTGTAGGTCTTAGTATTGTTAATTAAGACCTGCTGTGCTGTAGAGCCCAGTGAGGAACTCTGTGATCCTGTTTCGCTGAGTGTAATTCTAATTTCACTGTGTTGGCACTCAATCCTTTAGCCTAAATATGGGCTAATAGTAACAACAGCATGAAGATAGCAAAAATACTAATGCTCTAGCTTCAACCAGTGGGTAAAGTAGGCACACTCCTCTTTTTTCTGTCTGTGGAGTTACTTCTCATCGCTGATAAGGACTTAGACCTCACAGGTATCTGTGATTTTATTGAGTGAGGAACAAATGAACCAGGTAGCTGCTCACCTCCTCTTTCACCTCCTTCTTGACCTGCTTCAGATTGGCCCTCAGGTCCATGTTGACAGTGTGTTTGGAGCCCAACAGAGCTTTGAGCATGGCGTCAGCAGACATGCGCACTTTCTTCAGCCGGGGTCTCTTGAACTTTCCTCTCAAATCCACAATCTTGATATTGAGGTCCCTGACCTGAAGGAGGATTCTGAGGATTACTGACCTGACAGATTAAATAATCAATCATGAAGCAAACAGCAGTGACATGCAGGGTGTTTGGTGCTGAATTCATCACCAAGTACCGCTAGCTTTAAAACAGTGTTGTTGGGTAATTAAAATGCTGAGAGAAAAGCTACAGGAAGGAATAAGGATGTGAAATATTTCCAGTTAATGTTGCTATACGATTCATGGCAACTGCAGACCTCACAAGAAGGTTTGTTGTGTCTTCCATCAAAGTCTCAAGAGTGTGGAGGAGAAGTCAGAAAATGGTCAGTTACTCAATGAAAGCCTGACAAGCATCAGCCTAGCAGCAAGATCAGTATCTGCTCCTTTGAGGAGTAACGGGCAGAGGACACAGGGAGGAGCCCTAAAAGGTGACGACTGCATGTGCATGTTTCTGGCCTGTGTACACAGAGCAGTGCCACCCAGATGGACTGCAGAGCCAGCATGCATGTACAAGCAAATGTGACTGCATAATATTATATTTGAAGTAAGCAGTTTTGTAATGTACTTTTTCCTTAGTGTCAGACCAAAATCCAAAAGATGGGGAAGCTTCTAACATGAAAATAACCAAACAGCAACTGAAAATGACTGAAAAGGTTAAAAAAAAAACTTCAGGTATGTGATACTTGTTCATTTTTTTTTTTTTTT